TCATTGTGTCCAGGCATGCTTGAAAGCATTCATAGTTATTACTGTTCCTCCTAAAATCCTTACCCTTGACATTCTCATAGCTTTAAATCTTATTAACCAAAGACATGTTTAAAGGTACAATATCTCCTGCTGTACTTCTTTCTTTCTATGTTTTTGGAGCATTTGTGCCATTAGAGCATACCACTTTATTTATTTTTATTATCTGTTTTCCCACTTCTCAAATAAAAGCCACAGGAAGACAAATATTCTGTCAAATATTTTGAAAACTGATTGTAGGTGCTCAAATATTGTTAAGCAAATTAACAGTGTTTACACTAGGAATATTCAATCTAAAATATTCCTGAAAGATGACCAATAGATTCTATGGGTCTAGGACTACCTGGTCCCAGAAATAAGGATGCTTTAATCAAATGCATGGTAAGACTGTCACTAAACAGAAAGTTTCACCTACTATCAGATCAGTCTAAGCTCCTCAATACCTATGAACCAACAAAAAGACAATCAACAGGGTAAGAAATGATGAGGAGGAAGGCAGTTGCCATGTTATAGAGGTAGGAAGGAGCATGTTCGGCACTCATACAATCTGCTAGAGAATGTTGTGGCATTCCCATGACCAAAATTATAACCACCAATATGTAAGAACCAGAAGCAGAGCAGTACGAATATGAGAGAATTCAGGCACCAGCATGCTCAGTGATAACATGCAGCCTAGCAAAGCAGAAAGAATTGCTAGCTGAAGGAGAGACAGATGTAGAGTGACTAGGGCTCCGGCAATGTGATGAGGGTTGGCCTTGATGCAAACCTCATTAGTGCTGACTGGCAACTACTCCTGAGGTAAGTTCACTTGAAAATTGTGACCAGCCAGAATCTTGGGGGAACTTAGCCAGTGAGAACAACCTTCAGCAAGAAAGAAGTAGATGTGAGGACAAAGAGGAGCAGACTACAGCAGAATTCGGTGTTGGTACACTGCCACTGTCCTTTGCTTCTAAGCACTGACCCTGCATTAGCTGCAAATGTTAATTAATCACAGCTCACAGTCACCCTTTCTCTGGAGATTTGCCTTCTATGAGAGTAGTCTCTTCTCTGGAGGGCTACTCTCCGTCTTAGGGAATGAACCAACCACCAAGCATCAATGAGCAAAAGGGTAGCAAAGGCTGAGTTGGCCTCAACGAGGAGCCATCTCTGAGAAGCAATTAATGACTCAAAGCTTCCTCCACATGACCAGAGCAGGTAGATCTCCAGCTGAGAGTCTCTTTGTGCTTAGTTTTTAATCTCCTACTATCCTGTTTCTCTCTCTCTCTCTCTCTCTCTCTCTCTCTCTCTCTCTCTCTCTCTCTCAAAGTTCTTAAGAATCATTAAGCCACAGACTCAGGTAAGAAAATGCTAAATAATATGAACATAAAGAAATCTCCTAAAGTGCAAGGTCCTGAGTTCAATCCCTGGTACTACAAAAAAGAAAGATAGAAATCCCTTTAAAAAAAAAAGAAAGAAAGAAGAAGAAAGAAAACAAATCCCCTAACAGGTGAATATTGAGGTTATATGGACCAAAGTGGCCCACATTTAAATCCTGGCTGTAATACTTTACTAGGTGAGTAACTTGAGATGAATTATTTAACTTTTCTTTGCCTTCGTGACCTGTAAAAGGACTTATAAAACCATATCTATATCATAGGTGTTTTGAGTTAGTATCTGTAATATCATTTAGTGCTATTACATTTATAATTTTCATCTTTATTACTCTTACTCGAATATTCACCGTGGTGTTTTCAATTTCCTATTTTTTATTAACTACCTCTCAAAAAGTAGCTGGTGAATTAGTCTGCCTTTCCCTAACTCATGTTTAATGAAATCCCACAAAATATCCCCCATAAACAATCTATAAGGGAGTGAGAGAGAGCAACAGATATTTACGTTTATCAAAAGAGAGATATAGCCATGTCCTGCAATTTTGAAAAGAGAAAAGAAAGTCTTTTGCGTCTTTGAGGCTAAAGATCTTAGGATGTCACTCTGACCATTTAGAATGGAAATGCATCTTTCTAAGGGCCAGCTACACCTTAGGTGTCTCTAAGGTCTTCGCTTTATATGTAAGGAAGGAGATTCCAAAGCATCAAAATCTTTCTGGCATCTTAAGAGCTTAATCTAGGGACATTATGTATCAGTAGTCATTTAGGACTTTGGGGTAGACAAGACAAATTTCATTGTCTTTTTGAACCAAAGCAACTAAGTGAGGAAATGATCCTAAATCTAAAACTACATAAAGTAAAAGCTCAATTGGTAAGGGCTTTTTCTAAAAGCAGTTTAAATCCCCACAAGTGCCTGGCATGTAATAAGTATATTTAGGTGTTTGTGGCATAAATAAAAATAGAATTAAATCAATGAAGTCATAAAGATGAGCACAAAAGAAAATGAAATTCTAATAGATGTAAATGAAGAGAGCAACAAAAGCAGAAGTTGGTCCTCTGAAAACTGAAGAGCAGGTCCTCTGGAAAATAAAGCTGACTGAGGGCTAGCCAGACAGCTCAGAGGACTAAAGCACCTGTGCAGCAGACGCAGGAGCTGGGAGTTTGATCCCCAGCCTGCTGGCCGGCTCCACCCATGGGGCACGCTGAGACAGCAACTAAGACTGGGTGTGGTGGCGCACACCTGTAATCCCAGCGCTTGGGAGGCTGAAAACAGGAGAATCACTATGAGTCCAATCTACATAGTGAGACCCTATAGACCCTGTACTAAATACATAACAAATAAAAATTAAAAAGCATTTATATGGTTAGATTATCAATAAAGGCAAAAGACTCATGATGTCAGTAGTTAAAATAATGAGCATCCTGAGTAAGGAAATGAACGAAGGAAATCAGAAGGCAGCCATAGCCGGTTTCAAGAGTATTAGGAAAGTGACACTATCAACTGGCTGGTGAGCACCCTGGAGAGCACTTAGTGAACGCATCTGATGATAGATAGATAGATAGATAGATAGATAGATAGATAGATAGATAATTATACTCTGCCTACTTTACTTGTAAAATAGATCAAAACAAAAGGGCATTTTATATAAAAATATAAAGGTGAGAAAGGGAAGGAAGGAAGGAAGGAAGGAAGGAAGGAAGGAAGGAAGGAAGGAAGGAAGGAAGGA